CGGAAAGTAGAAGCAATCACCTTTCTAACGATACCTTCCATATACGCGTATCCTTTTTTGATCCTGAGATATAGGCCAAAACATATTTTGTCCTTTAAAATCGTATTTTTCGATGATAAATTTTTTTCTCAAAATTTCTACAATGAAATGCTTAGATCAATACATATTCGGAAAATAGAAGGAATCAGCTTTCTAACGATACCTTCCATATACGCGTATCCTTTTTTGATCCTGAGATATAGACCAAAACATATTTTGTCCTTTAAAATCGTATTTTTCGATGATAAATTTTTTTCTCAAAATTTCTACAATGAAATGCTTAGATCAATACATATTCGGAAAGTAGAGGGAATCACCTTTCTAACGATACCTTCCATATACGCGTATCCTTTTTTGATCCTGAGATATAGGCCAAAACATATTTTGTCCTTTAAAATCGTATTTTTCGATGATAAATTGTTTTCTCAAAATTTCTACAATGAAATGCTTAGATCAATACATATTCGGAAAGTAGAAGCAATCACCTTTCTAACGATACCTTCCATATACGCGTATCCTTTTTTGATCCTGAGATATAGGCCAAAACATATTTTGTCCTTTAAAATCGTATTTTTCGATGATAAATTTTTTTCTCAAAATTTCTACAATGAAATGCTTAGATCAATACATATTCGGAAAGTAGAGGGAATCACCTTTCTAGCGATACCTGCCATATACGCGTATCCTTTTTTGATCCTGAGATATAGGCCAAAACACATTTTGTCCTTTAAAATCGTATTTTTCGATGATAAATTTTTTTCTCAAAATTTCTACAATGAAATGCTTAGATCAATACATATTCGGAAAGTAGAGGGAATCACCTTTCTAGCGATACCTTCCATATACGCGTATCCTTTTTTGATCCTAAGATGTAGGCCAAAACATATTTTGTCCTTTAAAATCGTATTTTTCGATGATAATTTTTTTTCTCAAAATTTCTACAATGAAATGCTTAGATCAATACATATTCGGAAAATAGAAGGAATCAGCTTTCTAACGATACCTTCCATATACGCGTATCCTTTTTTGATCCTGAGATATAGGCCAAAACATATTTTGTCCTTTAAAATCGTATTTTTCGATGATAAATTTTTTTCTCAAAATTTCTACAATGAAATGCTTAGATCAATACATATTCGGAAAGTAGAAGCAATCACCTTTCTAACGATACCTTCCATATACGCGTATTCTTTTTTGATCCTGAGATATAGGCCAAAACATATTTTGTCCTTTAAAATCGTATTTTTCGATGATAAATTTTTTTCTCAAAATTTCTACAATGAAATGCTTAGATCAATACATATTCGGAAAGTAGAAGCAATCACCTTTCTAACGATACCTTCCATATACGCGTATCCTTTTTTGATCCTGAGATATAGGCCAAAATATATTTTGTCCTTTAAAATCGTATTTTTCGATGATAAATTTTTTTCTCAAAATTTCTACAATGAAATGCTTAGATCAATACATATTCGGAAAGTAGAAGGAATCACCTTTCTAACGATACCTTCCATATACGCGTATCCTTTTTTGATCCTGAGATATAGGCCAAAACATATTTTGTCCTTTAAAATCGTATTTTTCGATGATAAATTTTTTTCTAAAAATTTCTACAATGAAATGCTTAGATCAATACATATTCGGAAAGTAGAGGGAATCACCTTTCTAACGATACCTTCCATATACGCGTATCCTTTTTAGATCCTGAGATATAGGCCAAAACATATTTTGTCCTTTAAAATCGTATTTTTCGATGATAAATTTTTTTTCTCAAAATTTCTACAATGAAATGCTTAGATCAATACATATTCGGAAAATAGAAGGAATCAGCTTTCTAACGATACCTTCCATATACGCGTATCCTTTTTTGATCCTGAGATATAGGCCAAAACATATTTTGTCCTTTAAAATCGTATTTTTCGATGATAACTTTTTTTCTCAAAATTTCTACAATGAAATGCTTAGATCAATACATATTCGGAAAGTAGAGGGAATCACCTTTCTAGCGATACCTTCCATATACGCGTATCCTTTTTTGATCCTGAGATATAGGCCAAAACATATTTTGTCCTTTAAAATCGTATTTTTCGATGATAAATTTTTTTCTCAAAATTTCTACAATGAAATGCTTAGATCAATACATATTCGGAAAGTAGAAGCAATCACCTTTCTAACGATACCTTCCATATACGCGTATCCTTTTTTGATCCTGAGATATAGGCCAAAACATATTTTGTCCTTTAAAATCGTATTTTTCGATGATAAATTTTTTTCTCAAAATTTCTACAATGAAATGCTTAGATCAATACATATTCGGAAAGTAGAGGGAATCACCTTTCTAACGATACCTTCCATATACGCGTATCCTTTTTTGATCCTGAGATATAGGCCAAAACATATTTTGTCCTTTAAAATCGTATTTTTCGATGATAAATTTTTTTCTCAAAATTTCTACAATGAAATGCTTAGATCAATACATATTCGGAAAATAGAAGGAATCAGCTTTCTAACGATACCTTCCATATACGCGTATCCTTTTTTGATCCTGAGATATAGGCCAAAACACATTTTGTCCTTTAAAATCGTATTTTTCGATGATAAATTTTTTTCTCAAAATTTCTACAATGAAATGCTTAGATCAATACATATTCGGAAAGTAGAAGCAATCACCTTTCTAACGATACCTTCCATATACGCGTATCCTTTTTTGATCCTGAGATATAGGCCAAAACATATTTTGTCCTTTAAAATCGTATTTTTCGATGATAAATTTTTTTCTCAAAATTTCTACAATGAAATGCTTAGATCAATACATATTCGGAAAGTAGAAGCAATCACCTTTCTAACGATACCTTCCATATACGCGTATCCTTTTTTGATCCTGAGATATAGGCCAAAACATATTTTGTCCTTTAAAATCGTATTTTTCGACGATAAATTTTTTTCTCAAAATTTCTACAATGAAATGCTTAGATCAATACATATTCGGAAAGTAGAGGGAATCACCTTTCTAACGATACCTTCCATATACGCGTATCCTTTTTTGATCCTGAGATATAGGCCAAAACATATTTTGTCCTTTAAAATCGTATTTTTCGATGATAAATTTTTTTCTCAAAATTTCTACAATGAAATGCTTAGATCAATACATATTCGGAAAATAGAAGGAATCAGCTTTCTAACGATACCTTCCATATACGCGTATCCTTTTTTGATACTGAGATATAGGCCAAAACACATTTTGTCCTTTAAAATCGTATTTTTCGATGATAAATTTTTTTCTCAAAATTTCTACAATGAAATGCTTAGATCAATACATATTCGGAAAGTAGAAGCAATCACCTTTCTAACGATACCTTCCATATACGCGTATCCTTTTTTGATCCTGAGATATAGGCCAAAACATATTTTGTCCTTTAAAATCGTATTTTTCGATGATAAATTTTTTTCTCAAAATTTCTACAATGAAATGCTTAGATCAATACATATTGTATTGTATTAGTATTTCATTTACTAGGAGATAATAAAAATTGTTTTTCGTAAATCAAACAAATGACTAAGATTAAAAGTCTAACACGTTGAAAAACGTTTTTATTATAACCTAGAAAATCGTTTTTATTTTCCGTTCATATACAAAAACGTTTTTGAACTGTTATACACTGTTATACAACTGAAAGTGTTCGAAAATTAAAAACGTTTTTATCTTCACGCACATGCTCCCATATATAACTTCGTCCGATTTACACTTTATTGTGCACCAAACGTCTAAAATTTGTCCAAATGGGATGGAATTTGGCACTTACGACCGAATTGAGTCTAGAAGCTAGTATGTCAAATTTGGTGAAGATCGGTTCAGATATAGCTATAGCTCCTATATATATTGTTCATCCGATTTGTTATATTTGTTACCCACAAACGTAATATGCACTCCATTACAACGATATTCAGGGAAATATATTAAATACAGCTCAGAAATATCTTTGCGAAATTTTATGGAGATCAGTTCAGATTTGGATATAGCTCCCATATATATTTACAATACAAGTCCGAATTTAAAAGATACAAATGCTTCGGCATATTTTGTCCTTTGAACTTTAAATTATATTTATCATCATGGCGTGTATGATTGAATTCTCCCATCAAAACTTTAAATTGTTATGTGGAGCTCTACTAAATTAGCAAAGTGGTGTAGGGTATCATAAAGTCGGCCCCGCCCTAATTTAAGACTTTCTTTACTGTTTTTTTTTCTCATTTTCAACATATTTATACCCCACAAAACTATGTGTTGTATTTTTTCCCGAATATTTTTAATCCCGGCGAAATCACAAATAGACGAACAGGTCAATCCTGACCGTTACATAGTGGCTTGTAGTAAATATATCGGATATATAGCCAAATATATACAATGGAAGGAATGGAAGGAAGGGGATGTTATTTAGAATGCTTGGAACTCAATAATGGCTGGACCGATTTTGACAATTTTTTTTCAATTCAGAATGCCTTCTTGGCATAAAAGTATAAAACCTAAAAAAAATCGTACTAGAGGATGTCAATAATGATGTAAATATAGATTTTGTAGCAGTTTGTAACATTTTTTATTTTGTAATATTTTTTCAACTTACAGCCCAGGTTGGGGTTATTATATACAGATTGCAATTATCGTCCGATTCTCAGAAAAAATTTTCACGAGGGTAGGGTTCAGCTCAGAAGGGATAGACCTATATTTTTCAAAGATGTCCGCAATAATTTTGGGGGTGGAAATTGATCAACAACTAAACACGTTCCTGAATTTGCAGCCGTTATAAAGGTACCAAATAGAAACCAAAGGACCCGTATCCGTACGTAGGGTATCACATGGTCGGCCCTGCAGGGCATAAGCCTTTGCTTACTTATTTTTTAAAATCTTTAAATCCTTAATTAATCAATTGTATGCAAACTTTTCTCTCTTTTTTTTTTTGCAGGGAAGTGTGGCCAGAAAATGATGTTTTCGGTGCCATGTCCGCAGCTCCCGAAGATGAATTACTGCTGATGCGTGAAATATTTATGCATAACATAACAACAGGTGAGTAACTATCAGCGGTCGCATTAATTATGAATGGATTATTATTTGAGAATAATTAATAAAACCAAAATTGTTAATGTAATATAAACTAATTGTTATTATATTAATGGGGGCGCTGCAGTTACAAGTCAGCTACCCACGGTGAATGGATGCATTGTTGTTTAAACATGATATGCTACTTTACACAACAGCAACAATACCCAGCAGTAACAACAACAAACAGAAACAGTAGTTAATTAACTAATTAATTAATGCATGAACTGCTGGCATAGATAATGCCATTGTTTTGTGTTGGACAATACATGGCAGACGTTAATATGACCATGTATATGTGTGTGTGTGTGTGTGTTTGGAGAATGTGTCACATGGCATCCTTTGTTCCTGGAAAATAGATTTTCCACGAAAAAGATGTTTAAAAATAATGAACGAATAACTCCGAACTACAGCTACTGCATATTATTTTGTGGTTTTGGCACTGGCACAGATTAAAATTGTATTGAGCTATATCTATATATTTTGCTTCGTTGCACCTTTCTGCGGATTTGTTTACCCCTTCCCTTGTGCCGCCAAATGTGTGCGTGTGTGTGTGTGCTGAGCATTCATTTTGTGGTTTTCATTGAATTTTGTTGTTTTGTTTGGATTTATCATTGTTGTTGCTGCCGCCGCTGTTGTTATAATTTAATAATAAAGTTATATAAACGTAAAAATAATTTTAAATTGGAATCAAAACCACAGCCAAAAAAAAAAACACCGGGAGCAACAACAACATCAACAATTGAATGAATAAACACCTAGGTATGGATATATTCGTATGTGTGTGTGTGTGTAGATGTTTACGCAACCATATTCGTGGAAATCTATGTTTGAATCAAATTGGAGAAATTGATGATAATAACCGCAGAACACATACCCCCATACTCACACAAACAACAGATGCTGCACTCAGAATTTGCAATTAAACTTATTTCGGCGGAAACTGTTTTTAAAAATTAGGAGTTGGGATTTAATTTTGGAGATGTTTTAAAATCTTAAATATATATAACTAGCTGAACCCGGTGCGCTTCGCTACCCCTTTTGATTTTATATGCATTCAAAATTTTATTTACGAATATATGTTGGTTAAAAAAAAACTAATTTAAAAATTAAAAAAAAAATATTGCACTACTTTAATGCGTAAATAACCAAAACCATTAGAAAAGCAGTAACATGACATACATACACGAAGGGTTTGTCCTTCGGATTTATTTATTTCATAGCAAATACCAAGCGTGCAGTAAACTGCAATCTTTTGAAGTTGAGTGGCATTTCTATTGCAATTAGTGAATTCGAGATAGCAACATACTTCGCTGATCCGATTTAAATATAATTAAAAAAAAAAAATACTTTTACACCAAACTCCGCCACACCTTTCATATTTCATTGAAATTGGTGCGTCAAATATGTGAAATCGGCCGAGAATATATATATGGGAGCTATATCCAAATCTTAACTAATTTCCAATTAATTTGTCACATTTATTGTTGTAACCAAATTCCGCCACACATTCTGAATTCCATTGGTATCGGTCATATATATCATGTTTGGTGCATAACATATATGAAATCGGCCGAAATATATATGTTAGGTATATCCAAACCTCAACTGATTTCAATATAATTTGGCAATTTTTTCTGGTGCCAGATTTTGTCTCTCTCGCTTTGGGTGCATCAAATATGTGAAATCGGCTGAGTATATATATGGGAGCTATAATCAAATCTGAGCGTAATTGAATATAATTTGTCAAATTTATTTTTGTACCAAATTTAGCCACTCATGCCGAATTTCATTGGAATCGGAAATACGTATCGTGTTTTGTGCATCAAATATGTGAAATCGGCGGAAAATATATGGGAGCTATATCTAAATCTGAACCGATTTTAATATAATTTGACTAATTTATTTTCTAATCAAAATCCCGGTACATATTCCAAATTTCTTTGGAATCGAACATACATATCGTGTATGGTGCATAAAATACATGAAATCGGTCGAAAATATATATGAGAGCTATATCCAAATCTGAACCGATCTTAATATAATTTGACAAATGTGTATTTGTTTTTATTTCCGCTACACATTCCAAATTTCATTGAAATTAGAGATACATAGCGTGTTTGGTACATCAAAAACATGAAATCGGTCGAAAATATATATGGGAGCTATATCCAAATCTGAACCGATTTCAATATAGTTTGACAAATTTATTTTCGGATTAAATCCCGTCACACATTCCAAATTTCATTGGAATCGAACATTCATATTATTATTGCGGCATCAAATGAACGAAATCGGTCGAAAATATATATGGGAGCTATATCCAAATCTGAACCGATTACAATATAATTTGGCAAACTTATTTTTGTTCCAAATTCCGTTACGCATTCCAAATTTTGAGACTGCATCTTCAACCAATCAATAGATATGTGCATATAAAATCTAAATTTTTGGGAGGTACCTCCAATTCTGATGCTATATCTCCAGTTCCAAGTGGAAATTCAAATATGTATATAGCCTATGTTACTTTCAGGCGATGTTGCAGTATATATGGAAATTTTCAGGAAAATCTATTCAGCGGTTTTCGAGTCCATAAATTACAAACAAACAAACATACAAACATTTTCCTTTCGTTTGCGGAAAAATGAATTTTAATTAAGAGGATTTATGTTTGATCCTAATACTAATTTTTAGATTTCCAATGTAATCCATGGTCAATACAGTGTTAGACCACCATCCGTTTACCCAAAATCTAAATTGTACCAAATTTAGCATATTTTACTATAGTTCTTATACTTATCCTACGTTTCCGAAACCACCTCCCTATATCAACCTTACTTGACCAAATTTCAAGGTCTAAACTCTATTCGTTAATAGTAATTTCGGTGTACTTGAAAAAAAAAAAAAAACTTTAGTTTGTCTGTATAATACCTCGTTAAAGATTCTCAGTCAAAATTTCCGATTTCCAGCTCTATTCCTTAACAAATAAAAAAGTAAATACTTTAGATATATTTTAAAATATAACAAGTTATCAAATGCTATAGTGGTGCGGGGCCGACCATGTGATACCCTACAACACTACAGTATGTTAGAAGCCCCCTTATGTCCAAATCCATATTGAAAGATTTCTGTTCTTGGATAATTTGAATCTCTAAATACTTTGCAATCATCTCCAAAAGCAAGAAGCCCCTCTGTTTCTCGAAATTTAGACTCATTTATATGATTTGCTTGATTACGATATTTGGCTATATTCGTCAACGAAATCAGCATAAAAAAGCCAGAAGTTCGCCTTTTGTGTATTTGGGATATCGCCTGTAAGTAATGCCGGTATTTTTTCACACAAAAGTAGTGGTCCATTCTACCCGCTGTGTTAAATTCTAACTTCATGGAAGATTTCGTGTCCTTTGGTTTCTATTGGTGACCTTTATAACGGCAGCAAAATCAGGAAAATTTTTAGTTATTGGTCCATTTCAACTCCTAATATATTGCGGACATCTTTGAAAACAATAGGCCTAGCCCTTCTGAGCCCAACCCTACCCTTGTGAACATTTTCGTGAGGATCGGACTATATTTGCAATCCTTATATGCATTCAATATGCAAAAATATTATAAGTCAAATTGAAAAAATCGCATGCGATAAAAAATAGGAAAAAATAAATAAATGTCACAAAATACTACAAAATCTATATTAACATCATTATTGGCATATTTTTCTGCGATTTTTTTAGATTTTATTCCTTCATGTCAAGAGGGCATTCTGAATTGACAAAATTTGTCAAAATCGGTGCAGCCATTCTTGAGATATAAGCATTCTAACTAATATCACCTTCCTTTCTATATATACGTTGTATATATTTCGCTATATATATCCGATATATTTACTATCGGCATCTACGTAACGGTCAGAATTGACCTGTTTGCCAACTTATGATTTCGCCGGGATTAAAAATATTCGCGGTTTAATAGCAAATTTGACTTTTATTTAACACAAATGTTGTAGCCTATTTCACCCACTAAATAGTAATATATAGTAATATATTATATATATTACTAGCAAATATCCGCTACTTCGTATGTTGAAAAATGGATTTATTCTTCAACTCGAGACCTGGATAAGTACTCGTGAAACGGGACAGGATTTGGGTGCTCAAAATTCGAAATGGATTCCGTGCGAGAGACCTGGAGAAGTACTCAAGCACTACTACTACTACGGTTGCAGGAGACATTAATAAGTACTCAAACACTACAGGATATTCAAGGATCAGTTGCACGAGACTTAAATAAGTACTCAATCACTACAAGGATCTAGGTTACGGCTGCAAGAAACCTTAATAAGTACTCAAGCACTACAAGGACAAAGGATACGTTCCTGCAAGAGACCTTAATAAGTACTCAAACAGTATATTCAAAGATATGGTTACATGAGAACTTAAAAAGAACTCAAGCACTAAAGGATATTCAAGGATTAACACCGGAATTCAAGGATTAGAAATCTGGATAAGTACTCTAAGGAAGGATGTCAAGGAGACATTCTGAATTAAGTACTTACCAAAGCTGGCCTTGTCACGTTCAAGGTCTTGCACTGACTGTCTCAATTCTGGCATCGACTGGGAACTTGTTTACAAAAATTTGGTTATCACAACAACGTTACAGGTGCTCATGGTGATGAGTGGGCACTGATCTATTGTTGTGTTATGAGTATTTTTGTCATTTGTGTAAGCAAAAATGACTGGAAGGATTTCTGCCTTAAGGATATACCAAACATACAACCATTTAGTAATCTTCGTACTTTCGTACACTTAGTACACATTTCAAAAATTACCTCCTTACATCAACCCCATTTCCAAAATTTGATTCTCATACCAATTGTCAAGATTTTATCACTATCCACTCACTAAATTCCAAATGGTACCAAACTAAGTGCAGTTTAGTACTTTTGGTACAATTATTATTCGAATTTCGAAAAA